TGAATATACAAAAATAAATATTGATTAACTAGCTACTATTGATAACTAAGCTCGTAAATAATACATATGCATACTTATTTAATAATATTTTCTCTAATTTAATTAAATAAGTACATATGTCAAGCGAATACTTCGTTAATATATAAATTTGTGTATGTATAATAATGTATTATTTGCGCTGGTAACATATGACAAAATGTCTGCAGCACATTCACTCACTCCCTTTATCAACCCCCCTTTCATTTTACCCACACTAAGCCGCTGCGCACTTAGTGTCCCAGTCTCAGTCGCATGCCTGTGTTGAAATATTTTCGAGGCAAGCTGCGCACATAATGGCCCCTCTCCAGGCACCGTCCATGTCCAATGCCCCGTCTCCGGCCTCAGCCAGTGCTGGCGTCTCTGCTGCCGTTGCTGCTGCTGCTGCTGCTGCCTCGGCCGCTATTTTTATGTACAAAATACATGGCACATAAATTGTTTCAGGCCGCCAGAGCCATAGCCAGAGCCGAGGCCGTGTATTCTGATTGTGATTCTGTTCCTGTGCCACACACACACACACACACACATACACAAAAACAGGGTTGCATGCAACGGGACGACTGTGTGTGTGTGTTTGTGCGCTTGCTGCACATGGACATGGCGTTTGTTTTTCGGCTGCTGGGAAAGAGTATTTTTCTGTTCAATTCTTTTTCTACGCCTGTTTCCGCTTGCATGTTGCTGTTGTTGTTGTTGTTGTTCGCTGCTGCTGCAGTTTGTGTGCCCGCTGTTTTTGTTTTTGTTGCTGCTGTTGTTGTTGTTGTTGTTGCCTGATTCACACATTCCTAATTGAATTATCACGCATAAGCGACAACCAAATCCAGCCGAGTGTTGTGGATGAGATGATTTGAGGCCCGGACTAGCTGTGTTAGGTGCCAAGTGAAGCAGATCGCTCAGTTCCCCACCTCAGCCCCCCCCATTTGCCCACCTTCTTATATTCATATTTTTGTGTTATTTTTAGACACTGGTTCTTACTATAAAAACTAATTAGAGTAGTGAGTGCGAATGCTAGAGATGGGCGCGTGTCGTGAAGACATGTTCGTGCTCAACACTGTATTCTATTAGTGTTGAAAAAGAGAAAAAGCCTTATTAAAGATTATGTTAACTTAGGTAGGTTTGCATTTTGACTATAAATCAAATATTTAAAATTGTTGAATATATCGTTATGCACATTATCTATATCTATCATTAACTGTATTAGATTGCATTCGTTACGTGACACGCGCGCATTCCTAGCGCCCGACTGAGGCTCTGGGTCGCTTTCAGCCCTAGAGCACAAGGCAACCGGCTACCGTTAGCGACGACGCTGACGCCGCTGCCTCAACCAAAGACCAAATGCCTTTTCACTACACTTTAATATACCCTATGTACATATGTACAAAGGTATATAGTTTGCGTTTGAGAAAGGTTTTCGGATTTGGCTGTATGTACTCCACGCCCATAGCCGTTGCCGCTGGCACGGGGCGAGGGTTATTCGATGCCACGTTTGTTGTTGTTGTCGCATTTCCATTTTTATGTACAATTTTTCATTTTGCGCTTCGTTTTACATTCGTTCTTTTTCTGTTATTTTTCTTTGCATTTCCATTTCATTACATTCGCGCGCGCACAAGCACGCACACACTACAGCAACGCTGCTGCATTTGTATGCGTGTGTGTGTGTGTGTGTGTGGTTGGTATTGTGTTATCGCAGTTGCAGTTGAAGCATCTGATGAGACACGTTTCAATATTAAGCCCTGCTGTACCCGCGCACACCGCCCCTAAGTCCAACAGCGCGTCCTGCTAGCTAAAAATGTACTCTTTGCCCGTCGCAAAGCAACAACACACAAACTCTCCGCATTGCACTCACTCCACACACTCTCTCTCACACTCCCTCTCACACACAGCCGAATCGTGTGCGCTTATTGTTCCATTCTTTTCGTTCTTGTCGCCACTAATTGTAACTGCACACACACACACACACACGCACACAGTGTCTTATATATTTACTGTGTATATAAGAGAGCTTTGTAGATAGCATCCATCCATTCATTCGCAGCATATAAGCTGCAGTCGCTGCTTGTTCGATTATGCGTGCCCTTCTCTCTCCCCGCTCTGATACTGCTACTGCTGCTGCTGCTGCTGTTGTATGTTTGGCTGTGTGTTGCCCTCTTGTCTTGCTGCCTTCATTCGTCGTCGTTCAACGCACTTCCTTCTCCAGTCTGTCTCCCTTTCTGTCTGTCTCTGCCTTGCTGTGTGTGCGTGTAAGTGTGTGTGTGTGAGTTTCTAGCGACAGCCCCACAGGCCAAATTTTGTCATTCCTGTGCTGCCTCTGCCGCTGCGCTGCTCAGCTTCAGCTTCTGCTAAAGAAGAAACTGATATTCCAAAGCAGTTGTTGTTGTTGTTGTTGCTGCTGCTGCTGCTGCTGTTGTCTGTTACCGTTGCTCTGGGCAAGAATTTCGAGCATTTCTCGAAAGTTATTCGAGGGTTGCCGCGCGCAGCGCTTGCCTCTGTGTCTGTGCGTCTCGAGAAGCTTGAATGGATGGCCTCAGATAGCATCTGAGTTACTTTTTAATACATTTTAGCTAAATGGATATTTGAGGCTGATAAGTAGGACCGGGATTCCATTCGCAGCATGTGTGCTGTGCATGGGCAGGAAGGGGGAGGGCAGGCGGATGAACTCCATGCCGAAGATTACTTGTAAAAAAAAAAACGAAATTAAATTACAAGAATTTATATTGACGAAAGATTTCAACACTTCTGTAGCGGGCTTTTAAGTCATATTAAATTTTAAAGACGAAGCAGAAATAGGCGTGGAAGTCAGCTAACATTGAAATACTTTCAGGGCTTTAACAGCTTTGCATCTTTAGGAGCGCTTCTTTAACTGCCGACGGCGATTTTCTGTTGCTCTAGTTTACCGTTTATTTCGGCTTACAACAATCTGTCTGTCCATATACCTCTTTATCTGTATGTCTCTGATCTACCTATGTATGTGTAATATTCTATCTGTATTTATCTTCCTTTATATCTGTGTCTCTCCGATCTATCTATCTCAATATATGTAGGTATATCTTTCTATCATCTATCTACCTTTCTATTTGGATGTTTCTAAACTATCTATCTTCATATATGTATACCATTCTATGTATCTATCCATCCTCCTATCCATCTATCTATCAATCTATCTATCTATCTACTATCTATCTATCTATCTATCAATCTATCTATCTATCCATCTATTTATCAATCTATCCATATATCTATTTATCTATTAATCAATCTATCTATCTATCTGTGTGATTTAAATATACCCATATACGAATGTATATTTCATTCTATACACCTATCTACCTTTCTATCTGGATGTCTGTGTTCGGTCAGTCTACATATATGTAAATCAATCTATTTATGTATCTACATATGTATCTTTCCAACTATCTATATTTCCATCTTTTTTTTTCCCATCTATCTATCTATCTTTCTATCTGGCTATCTATCTATCTATCTATCTATCTTTCTATCTATCTGGCTATCTATCTGGCTATCTATCTGGCTATCTTTCTATCTATCTATCTATCTATCTATCTATCTATCTATCTTTCTTTCTATCTATCTATCTTTCTATCTATCTATCTATCTATCTATCTATCTATCTATCTATCTATCTATCTATCTATCTATCTATCTATCTACCTATCTATCTATCTATCTATCTATCTATCTATATATCTAACTAACACTATCATTAATATAGATTAATTGTATTATCTATCAAGTAGATACTTGACCCATCTGTCTATACATCCATAAACTTTTTCATATTTGTGTATATGGATATGATTGTATATATATATATATCTATCTAAATATATAGGCAAATGCAACTATATATCTGTATCTGTTCTGGTATTGGTAAGTTAGAACTTTGTGCTAAATCCCAATCAAATCATAGCTTGAATCTTGAACAATGAGCTATTATTTATATAGGAATCGTGTCTATCAAAGTATCTTTTCAATCTTCTGTAACCTTAAAATAGGTCATCTACAAACATTTAGTTCCTTAATCATTTAGCAAATGCAACAGGGAAAACTCTTCGCTCAGTTCTCAGCAGCTTCTGGCCACGTCCAATGGTTGTTGTCAAAGCGACGGCATTTGCCACATTCAAAAAAAGGTGTTTCATACAAAAAACCAGTTCTTACGACTACCCAAAAAAAAACAAGTCGATACATGCCCAAAACAAGTCAAAAACTAAAACACAAAGAGAACGAAATAAGAACACGCCACGCTTAACTAATTAAAATTTCATAATTACTGTACCCGATGCTTACCAATCCATTTCGAGTCTGGGCCCGCGAACACGCCCCAATCGTGTTGCACGCGCAAAGACCAATAAAAACTGAGGCACGTTCGCGTTGTGCACCAATCGGAACGAGGCACAAAAAGCGACCAATGCGCTGCCAGCGTTGTGTCGAGTTTGAAGCGTGTAGAGTGCCTCGTATTCGAGAGACATGAGACATGGCAACTCTACGACTCTACACGTTGTAGAGTAAGCGCACAAAAGCTTCACAGAAAAGCTCCCAAATGCATGTATACACACGCTGACAAATTGGGAATGTAAATTAAATGCATTCTGTTTAATTTCCAGTTAAATTCAATAGGTTGAAATGTAAATGAGCTGTTTAGGTTATGTGCACTGAGTGTAGAGTTGCGGCAAATGTTTTGATTTGAATTTGTAGAAAAGTTTAAAGACAGAAAATTGCTTGTATTTTTTCTCAGAGAATACCAATGCATACTTTTGGGTTGAGTTTGTTGTAAAAAGCTTAATATACTTAATCAAAATTAATATAATTTTTTGCGGCCTCTCATTCTCTACAAAATCCAACAAATATATGCCTAGATTAATGTTAAGCTTAGCTTTATACAATTTTTTTGTAATTTAATGTCGTTTTTAGTTTTATTTTATTTGATAATTTTTTTCTATAATTTTTAAGTGTCTGATGATATACAAATAATTTAATTGATTATCAAGGAAATGTTTAAGAATTTAATGAATTTTTTGGGCCGGCATCGAGGCGAATCGCTTCGCATTGATTCAGTCTAGGATCGGACGAGCACCTCGTAGCTGTCCAGGCGCACCTCCTGGCCGCCAAAGGGTATGTAGAGGCAGTGATGCGACTGATGGATCTTGCCGGGCGTAAAGCTGCCATTGTAATGGCCACGTCCAATATACAGAGGCTCACCCTCGCTGGTGCGGCCGCAGACAACGGCGCCGCCGGGCACATTGCCAAAGGAGTCGGGCACCCAGCCGTAGCCGTAGCCGGCGAGCAGCTCAAAATCGTATTTAACGTGCTCCTGTCCGCCGTATGGCACATAGGCGCAGCCCTTGTTGGGTATCACCTTGGCCGGCAGCAGATCGCCATCGTGATAGGCACGTCCGACAAAGATGGCATCGCCATCGGCATCATGGCCGGCCAGTATGGTGCCGGGCACAATGTTGCTGCCGGACGAGCTGACCCATGTCTCCGGCTGGACGAGCACCTCGTATGCTTCCAGCTTATGCTCGGCACCGCCGTACGGTATGTACAGGCAGCCGTGCGATGGATGCACCTTGCCGGGCGTCAGACTGCCCTGGAAATAGCCGCGACCCACAAACAGAGGCTCCCCCTCGGAGGTCTGGCCCACGCGCAGAGCATGCGGCGGCACCTCGCCATGGCTGGCCGGTATCCAGCAGTAATGGTGTCCGGTGAGGATCTCGTAATCGTGCTTGCTAATCTCCTCGCCGCCCCAGGCCACGTACGCCTGATGCTTGTTGGGTATCACCTTGGCGGGCAGCATGTCGCCGTTGTGATAGGCGCGGCCCACATAGATCGGATCCTGATCCGAATCGTGGCCGGCGGCGATGGCAAATGGCGGTAGAGCATCGTACACATTGCGGGCAACCCAAGTGTGATCTGAAGGATATTTGGAAAATTATCATGAATCAATGGATGATGGATTTTAGAGGAATATATAGTATATATAACAGACTGGAGACTTTTGATTTTGAATATATTTATATTATATTATAGATTTTAAAGATTATATATATTATAAAATCAAAAAAGTAAGTTAAAGTCTTTTAAAAAAAACACACTGAGAAAATACTCAAGAAATGCTTAATAAATACACAGCTTATATTGAGCATATTCCGATATTGAGCACATTATCATATTGAGCACAATCTCAAATTGAGCGTATTCTCAAAAGGAATGAAAGCCATTGAGTAATAAATATTGATTACGTATTTATTACTCAATGAAACAAAGCAAAGCTTCGAGAGGTGCGAGTGAGAGGGCTAGCTTCAATGCTGTGCAACGTCAAAATTTCGTTAGGACTACAATTTACACCACACATAACTCTCCAGCTCTCTCTCTCTCTCTCTCGCCTGCTCTCCCTCTCTCCAGCTCCTGCTGCAGCACAGTTAAAAAAGCAAGCGAATTAACTCAACTTTGAGTCATTTTTGTTCCCACAATGCAGCGCAAAGCTTTCAATTGGATCGCAAGTGAGAACTTCACTCGTCATGACAACTGTGCCGCGATAGGGCAATGCATGTGTGTGTGTGAGTGTCAGTGTGTGTGTGTGTCTGTGTTCAGATCTAAGATACGACAGGGCAGGGTAACTGCAAAAACCACTTGACTAAGGTACTAAGGTGTCTTTATCAGGTACATGTCGAAATTGTGGCATTATTCATGCCCATATCTGTCAGCAAAAGCTCATAAGTTGGTCGGATTTGAGCTGTCGCCAAATGTACCCAGCATTGATATATGGCTATATTGAGCACATCGAACTGTACTTTCACCAAGTCAAAAATAGAGCTGCTTAAGCTATTAGGCACTTTTTTTGAAGTTTTAAGCAGCAGAAGAGCTTAAAAGCTTTAAGCAAGCTTTAAGCAAATATCCTTTAAAGCGCTTGCTTGGGCTATTTCGAGCCTCATTTCAAGGTTTTACGTTAACTAATCACAATTTTTTGTGGAACTTTTCAGGAATATTTTTATAGATCGTATCTATCGTATCTTAGCTTCGATTTTCACTGGTATATTCCATTGTTCTAGAGTTTTGTAATCCTTCACTTGAATCCTGCGCTTACCCATTTCGTTGTGTGTATCTGTTTATAGTTATATCTGTAGCTGAACTGAAGTATCTGACGGATACGCGCTCTCACTGGCGTAGCTAGTATATGACTGAGCGGACGTGCGACTGGCAGTTGTGTTATAAACCTGCGACTCTCTTATCGGGCAAAATGTGTTGACTGACATATATATATATATATAGATATTTTTCTTTTGGACCCAGTTGTGTGTGATTGTCGTTAGCCGGCAAACGATAAGATATCGTATCGGAGCCTGTGGCATTTTTTCCAAGTAAACATGTGTACAGGTGAACGGGTCGAGGGGGGTAGCTGGCACTTCGTCATCACGGCAAACTTTCAAAATTGTGTAAAATATTGTTGCCTCTTCATTTTTAACCAGCATAACAGTTAGCTGGCCTTTAAAATATCAATAAATAATGCGTTTTATCTGTTTATGAAATGTTTACCCAATATTTGTGCGCTTATCTATGAGCGATTGCATGATTATGTTAGGTCTTATCAAGCCGGTCCAAAATACACTTTATCAATAACAGCAGCAGAAACGAGAAGCCAAATAAACAACCTCGAAACTCTTGTGCTTGGCACTCTCCGAGCTTGTTTAACTAGAGAAGTGTTTAATGTACTTTTTCTCACCTGTCAACATTTTGCGGCTCTACTTGAAAGCGGGAAGTTTCCTTGCTTGGGAGCTGTGCACTGCACTTTTGAATTTATTGCTGTGATCGAAATAAGCCGTCGCTTTTATGCCGCAGATTGGCTGCCTTTTTGCTCCAGCGCTTTGTTTTGAATAACCGCATGAGTATTACAACAGACCCCAACTTGTGGCACTTGCGAGTCGATAAACGAAAGCCACAGCTGTTTCTGTTTTGGGTTCTGGCTTCTGGGTTCTGGTTCGGCTTCGGTTTCGGCCTCTGAGCAAACCAAATGTGACTCAGTCGTCTAAAGTCGAGAAATGTTTCATTTAAACAGCAGTAACGAGGCTTGCTACAACTTTAAATAGATTCGCTGAGTCAACAGCTATAAAACAAAATAAAGAAAGGGAAAAGAAACTAAAAGAAAATCAAAGAAAAGAAGAAAAACATACATTCGAATTTAGTTGGAGAGTTAAACTGTAGTTATAGATTAAAAAAGGATTTTTGTTTTTGGGCTGATAATTGGTCTATCTATTTCGCCTGACCGTATTTCCCGAGGTCCAAAAGTTTTATCCTTCAATAATATTTATCATTTATATTATCTTGAGAGAGTTTTCTTATACATGCTATATGAGCTATGTTTCTATATAAGGTTCTAGAAATAAGCACATCGAAGCTATGTGATATAAATGATATGAGAGAAACATGTGAGATATATAATAAGATATCATATGAAAGATATGATACTGTAGAAGATTCTAGAAATTAAAACTTCGAACTGGTATTTTATTATACGTGAGATGAGAGATATCTTTCCATATATGTTTCTATAAATTAACAACTGATGTGATATATCTGATGATATGTAATGATATGGTATAATAGAATACTATATAATAGATATGTTTCTAGAAATAAGTACACGGAACTGATGTCATATATATATATAATATGAGAGATATATTTCTATAGAAGGTTCCAGAAATGAAGACATAAGCGAATGTGATATATGTATCTGATATGAGAGTTACCTTTCTATATAATGTCTAGAAATAAGCTCATCCGAGTGATGTGATATATGAGAGCTAAGTTTCTATATAGGGTTCTACAAATGAAGACATCGAACTGGTCTTTTGTTATATCCGATATGAGAGCTATATTTCCATATGTTTCTATATATCATACTATGAGAAATAAGCACATCGAACTGATGTTGCAAATGCTATTGTTAATGCAAACTGCATTGATATATATAGATATCATATCATGTCATATATATCATGTATTATATATATATATTGACATGTATGTAATGAGCAATAAATGCAACAGCAATATCTTATCTGTAATATATAAGTATTGCCAATCTCTTTAAAGAGGCATGGCGCCTGAGATCTTAAATTTATTGACCTTCGAAGTTTCCTCGGGTCTCGCTGATCTAAGTGCTCCTTCCCTCTATTTATGGTACATTTGACAGTTATGTATTTCCGGAATGGTATAAATGTGCAAATATGTTATTGGCTGGCTTGACAGGTGGCCAAAACGAACACCTGTCGTACCTCCAATGTATATGCATAAAAATGTATATATAGATATGTATAACACTCAAAAAAAAAGTCCCCAAACATGGCGCCTGACTCATCGTTGCTGGAAAAAAGCTTTTCGGGTGATACATTAATATTGGAATTGATAAACATGCCCGAACCTTCAGAATGTTAGCGATAAGGCCCTGTCAATAACAAGCCATATGCACTGCAAGAAAATCTTATCGATAAAAATACCACCAAAAAAATGACAGGTTAAAGTGAACTAGTTGGGATTGCCCGACTAGGGTATGCCCTTAACTTTCTGCTACTCAAGCTAAACATTAATTTAGTTAGAGGGTGAAGAGGGGAGTGGACTGGGCGTGGCAGTCGCATAAAGTGAAAAATACACGATGTTTATATACTATACCAGAGATATATACTGGGAGATATGCTCAAAAGACAGGATTTCGATAACGATATTTATCGATTGCTTGGAAATGAGGCACGATATCGATTATTGGACTGGGAGGAACTACGTTCAAATCTCTAGATCTTAAAGTGGCTAAGATCGACACGCAGAGACGGACGAAGAGACAGACAGACAGACAAACAAACGAAGGGAAGGATGAACGGACGGACGGAGAACGGAAGGCCGGAGGAACGGACGGTCGGACGGCCGGACAGTCGGACGAACGGACGCCCGGAAGGATCGACTCGAGTATTGATGCTGACCAAGAATATATATTATTAATGGGGATCCCTGATGCCATCTTCTGCCCGTTACATACCTTTGCACATAACCAATATACCCATTATAAGCACTTCCCATGGGTTCAGGGTACCGAATGCGAGCCGAAGCAGCACGGAGATATAGGCTCGGGCGTAGTTTTAAAACCTTTTCACTTGCCGTTGCGGGTTTTAGTTGAAAATCGAAAAGCGAACCTCACGGTCGAAACAACGGAGTGGACTTTGAATAAATATTAAAAAACAAAAACAAAAGGAATAATAACAAAATACTATATACAAAAGATATAAATAATTTGCAGAGAAAGCGCGCTTATCAGCTGGAAAAGTGAATCATGGGTATGTTAATCAGGCATATTTATCAGACCTACATATATATATATATATATATAGAGATATATGGCAGGGCATATATTGTGTGACAAAGTAAATATAGGAGTCAGGCGATCCTCAGCGATCTCTTAGCAATCCATGTCGTGGATGTCAGTGCTGATTTGTCTCTCTCTCTCTCTCTCTTTTGGTTTTGTTTTTCCTCCGTTTCTTGTGCCGGGTCCACCTTTAGGTGCAGTGCAGCCGGGAGCAGTTGTGAGCATTGGTAGGCGAGTGCAGAGCTGTGTCAATTCTTAAAAGAATTGAAAATCTATATGTATAAATTTTGCACCCAATGCGTATTATCAATGCTATCTTATCGCGCTTATCGGCAACTTATTGGCTAATGCCCAACCGCACTGTCCGCTCCTCTCGTTGCAGAACACACTTGGGTGCACTCGACTCCATATGCCGCACTGCCTCCGTTCGCTGTTGTTGGCGGCCACGACGCCGACGGCACACCGATCTATGTGGGTCGCTCCTTCCACGAGGGCGAGAACCTGCCCGCCAAGGTAATTCCCAGCAAGGGCTGTGCCTATGTCGCCTACGGCGGCACCGAGCACCAGAAGAGCCACTATGAGGTGCTGGTGGGCCAGGGCTTCGCCTGGGTGGGCAGCTCCAGTGGCTGTGTGCCGCCAAACGCTGTGCGCAGCGGCACCACACGCACCGGGGAGCCCATCTATGTGGGTCGCGGCCATTACTCGAACTCGCTCTGCGTGGGCAAGGTGCATCCATCGCATGGCTGTCTTTATATACCGTTTGGCGGGCAGGAGGTGCGCATTAACACCTACGAGGTGCTCATCCATCAGCAGCAGGATGTCTGGGTGCCGGCCACGCCCAGCTATACGCCGCCCGGCGCCGTCGTAGCCGGTCACGATTCGGATCGCACGCCCATCTATGCCGGACGCGCCATGCACGAGGGCGAAATGCTGCCCGCCAAGGTGGTGCCCAGCAAGGGCTCTGCCTATGTCTGCTTTGGGGGCTACGAGTTCCAGAAGCCCACCTATGAGGTGCTCACCGGCTATGGCTATGTCTGGATCCGGCCCCATCACCATGGCATTCCCCCGAATGCCGTCTCCACGGGACGCGCACGCAACGGCGAACCCATCTATTACGGACGCGGACATTACCAGGGCAGCCTGACGCCCGGCCTGATCTCCTCCCGACAGCGTTGCCTCTACATACCCTACGGAGGCCGCGAAATCCGTGTGGACTCCTATGAGGTGCTCTGCCGGCAATAGTCGGCACTCATATATACATATATATTTATATTTTTGAACAATTTCTAATAAAGGGTGCGACTGTTTATCAAACACATTTGAGTTCTGTTGTTCATTTATCTCTGCATATAAATAAGTCTAAGCTTATATCTATAAGTTAAGCTAATGCGGAATAAACATTCCTCTTTTCCTATACCCTTCAAATACCCTGGGTTACATAGCTTGAGTATATAGTAGATTCCTTCATATTCTAGAAGGCGGCTTATTTCTTACATGAGCCCAATATTTATATAGTCTATTATCATAACAAGAATCTACATTATATAGTATTCCTTTATCTTAGTCAAATATAAACAGAATAAATACATATAATTCTTTCGTTCATCCAAAAGTCGGCTAATGATAAAGGGCAAGATTATATTCGTAGGCTGGTAAAAGTTACATGTGTAAAGATTTGGCATAGCCTGAACTTGGATTATATATAAATAGAGAACCTTGAACTTATGCCCAATTCGTTTATATTACAGCCTACAAATGGGTGCAGTCGTCGGCGTACTCCTCGATACCGCCGAACGCCGTTGTGGGCGGCAATGATGAGGATGGCGCCATGATCTATGTGGGCCGGGCGGAGCATGAGGGCGATATGCTCGTCTGCAAGGTGGTGCCCACCAAGCAGATCGGCTTCGTATCGCAGCGCGGCGAGGCCCTGCCCAAGGACATATTCGAGATACTGTGCGGCGAGAATCTCGCCTGGGTCAAGTGCTACGACCACGTGATACCCGAGACGGCGGTGCTCTGCGGTCGCACCCAGCTGGAACAGCCCGTCTATATTGGACGCGGCCACTACGAGGGGCATCTGATAATTGGCAAAATCTCGTCGGTGCATCGTGCTCTGTTCATTGCGTATCGCGGCGCGGAGCGTCGTCTGGACTCGTATGAGATTCTGGTGGAGGAACGTCATGGCATGCCCGGCTGGCAGCTGCCGCCGCCGCCGCCCGAACAGCTGGAGTTGGCCGAGAAATGTCCGGCAACGCCGCCGCCGCCGCCACCAACGCCGTTGCTGCTGGCAAGCAAACCAGCCGCTGCTCCCGGACGCTATCCGTATCCGCCGGACTTTGATGCGCCGGCTTTCGCCTTGCACGACAGACCGCCACAGTATACGCCCATGCCTATGCCCATGGCCGGCACAGATCCGTATCCACCACCCCGCCCAACGGGGCCCTCGATCTTGCCGGAGTACAAGCCACCGTTGGCCGTGCCCGTGCCCATACCAGTAAAGCCCTCGCTGCCGCCGCCCGCCTATGTGCCCGCCGAGGTGGCGCCCTCTTATACGCCAGCCGAGGTTGCGCCGCCTGCAGCTGCCGGGTGCTCCTTTACGCCAGCGGACACTTATAAGCCGCCATTGGATCCGTATGCGCCCAGTTGCTCCTCCTACACGCCAGCCGTGTGTGCTCCCGCTCCGCCTGTCTACGGCGGCGGCCCGCCGACCCATGGCGCCGGCTATGATCTGTGGATGGCGGCCAGTCCCGGCTATACACCACCGGATGCCGTCTTCGGCGGCCACGACAGCGACATGGCGCCGCTGCTCGTCTGTCGCGCCTACTACGATGGCACCCATATACCGGGCAAGGCGGCGCCCAGTCGCGGCTGTGCCTACATTACGCTGGCCGGCCGCGAGATTGTCGAGTCGCGTTACGAGGTGCTCGTCGGACAGTCCAAGTACCATTGGGTGCCCGGACGTGACGGCAGCATAGCTGCCGGCGCCGTGGAGGCGGGCCGTGCCTTCAACGGCGAGCCGTTATTCATTGGCCGCGCCCACTACTGCGGCAGCCTGACACCTGGCAAGATTCAGCAATCGCATCGCTGCCTGCACATACCCTTCGGCGGGCAGGAGGTGCGCATCAGCAGCTACGAGATTCTCGTGCGCAGCGACATCTATCATCGCCAGCAGGGCATCAGCCTGAGCTACTGAGCTCCAGCTGGCAGGAGACGTACACATGACCTTAAGCAAATTCCAGAGCAGCTACCTCAAATGTAAAGCCCATCCAATGGGCAAAAAGAAACAAATTCAGCTTTAAATTTAACAACAGTCTAGATAGAAAATTCATACTCTTTTTAAAAGAAATTTCAAGCTGCTTTCGTTCTTAAATTAAGTATAAATTATCCTTGATTACAAAAAATATATAATGAATTAAGCATAAAGTACTTAATCTAAGAATTTACACACTTAAAAAAATGCTCAATTGAATTCTAAGGGCACTTCCGTTCAGAAATTGAAGTAGAAAAGTCTTTCTATAACAACTTAAACAATTTTAAAATTGAAAAACTTAATTTAAGCAAAAGAGGCTTGAAATTTTCTTCAATTACTGAGAGCAACAAATTTCGCTCTAATTTTAAATACGATCTTGATAGAAATTCATTTTCTCCCTAAAGACAATTCAGGCTCTCTTCGTTCTTAAATTAAGTCTAACTTAATTCACAAAAAAATATATTGAATTAAGCATAAAATACTTAATTTAAGAATTAAATTCCAAGAGCTCTTCCATTCAAAAATTGAAGTATAACAAAAAAAAAGTTCCTGAAAGAAAAACAGCTTAAGAAAAACGAAAACTTAATATTTGCTTTGTATTCCTACTTCAGCTTAAGAAATTTCAAAATTGAACTTAATTTAAGCAAAAAATGCTTGATATTTTCTTCGTATTCGTATTCCTCCAAAGTATTCCCCGCAGCAGCTACCTCCAAAGGAGTTTTGTTAACTATTGTACCTAGTCTTAAAGTATACCCATATCGAAACTTCTGTTGTATATATAAACTGTAAAATATACGCATCTATTTATTTTAATGAGCAACTTCTTTGAATGAATCTGGGAACACGTCGAGCGTCTGCGGCGTTCCGCGTAATTCCAAGTTTTTATATGGCCCGGCTAAGTGGCAGATGCTCGTAAAAGACGTACTTCCTATATTTAGCTCATAAAGATCATAATGGGCGAGTTTAGCCTCGGGCTAGCGCCGTGGGGTTTACTGACCTCATCATCGCGCTTTGTCTAATGCAAATAATATTTCCCGTCTCTTTTACTTTAACCTAGTGCCAAATAATGTAGAATATCTAAGCAGATTTAAATGTAGGGCAGTTGAATAGCAATAAATCCCACATATCTCATCTCTGCACGCCAAAATAATGTTATTAAAATCGGAGTAATCAAACAAAAACTAGTCCAATTGCATTTAGGCTAAATGTCACGTTTCTGCTGAAGGTCAACTCATAAGGCAACTTTTTGTAGTTCTACTTTGTGATAGATCATGATCATAATACCAGACATTTCTGAATAGCGAAAAGTGTAAAGAAGTTTTACTTGGATTTCTGACAGTTTTTATCAACATATTTTCTTAGGGAATATCTTAGTGCCTCACGGGAATACTACAATATATAATTTCTACAAAGGATAAACTTCAGGGAATATAGCTGGTATTATATTGAATTATTTTAGTCGGATTTATTATATCGAGTCTTATAGTAACTAGTTGGGGCATATTCTATATATAAACTTCCAGGAGTATAAGCTAGAAGTGGGATAGATAATATCGAGTGTTATGCTATTACTAATTGGGGCAGGTCCTACAATATATATTTTCTACAAGAAATAAACTTTCAGGAATATTAGCAATAAGTCGGATTGATTATAACTAATTGTGACATGTTCTACAATATATACTTTCTACAATAGATAAACTTCTAGGAATATTAGCAATACGTTAGATTGATTATTTCCAATGATATAATAACTAATTGGACCTTAATCTAACTCGACTCGCCAGAGGCTTAGAATTTAAGCACTTCTCAGCAGATTTGTGTATTAGCCAAAGATTAAAGTAAAATAGTTACAACTTATGTTCAATAGACCTGAAAGTGAACTTCCGGACGTCATTAAAAACGACTAAATCAACGGATGTGCTCGAAGATATCAGACCCAGACCCTGCCTTATTAACCACATGCAGAATATACTTATGTACACACATTTGTTTATTTACCGGCGTGGACTTTGTGCTGTGACCTGACCACGTCAATTTGGAATCGCAAATGCAGGTCGCTTGTCCAGGTGTGCACAGGTAGCTGCTGAGTCCGACTCCCGTACGCGTATAAATATCGGGGCTTTTACTCGATTCGAGTTCAGTTCATTAGCCATTGCCCGGTCTGCGGTCGGTTCTCATTGTGCGCGACTAGTTAAACAAATCATAATAAAAGATTTCGACATTCAGTATTTGTTTTCGTCAAAAGCCGGTAAGCCTTCTCAGTCGCCCGATACGACATCATCTATATATATATGTATATACATATCTGTAGCTAGGCATGGAGGGCCTGCCGTTCAGCTGGGCAATATTTGCGCGAATCTACGTAATATTTTTGATAGCCTAACCTTGATGGTTGTATTTGCCGCTATTTGTTGTTGTTGTTGTTGTTTTATATTGTTTATAAATTATAGTATTCCCCCATAAAGGTACGGCACTTAGGTTAGATAAGTACCGAATATTCGCTACACTCATCAACAAAATTGAGCTATTGATTTCTTTGCCTAACTTGCAAGATTGCGCAACATTGTGAAATTCGTGCAGGTTCGATGCAGATTTAATTTATGCCTTAAGAAGTTTTAAAACTTATGATAAGTCTTTTTTTTGGATGCTCAGCTCATGTTAGTTCAATAATATAGGAAAAATACCTTCTTACTCAACAAGTTCTTCAATAGTTCTTCCCCTTTTTCTCAAATATATAAAACCTATATATATTTTTAATCTTGATTAGAAAAAATAAATATTCCTTTACTTCTATATTCCTTACTTCAATCAACAAATTCTTCAATAGTTTTTCTATTTTTTTTATAAATATATAAATTTTTAGCTTATTTTTGAATCCTAATTAAATATTTTAAAATAAACTTCCTTAAAATTCTTTTATATTTTGGACCTACCCCATGCCTTGGCATAACTCTAGTTCACCACCCTGCTGTGCAGTGTAAGTGCTATATATCTGTCTTATATAGTATGTCTAGTACGACGCCAATCGTATTTTTGTTTTCGCAAAAATTC